TTATTCATTCGTCCATCAAATATTCGACGTATTATATATGTAGTTATAAGAAATAAAAAAACTCACTACAACGCGTGTGTATATAATATAAATTCATTTTTTTATATCAAAGATTATTTGATGGACTATGATATCATAGTGTGATGTATTCAACAGTTTGCAGAATCAAGAGATTTTTAAAAAAAATATGCGAAACAATGGATTCAGAGAGTTTCACGAGAACAAAACTCTGAAAATAGAAAGAAAAATTCTGAATACATATAGACCTAAAGAATTAAAGAATCAAGTTGAAAACAGAGAAATGTAAAATCAAATTAACAACTTATTGGAAAAGTCTTTAAAATAAAAAAAGTCTATAGGAGTAAAATTCTCCGAAGCAAGAAATTAAGCAAATTTATATTAATTTATAAATAAATTTATGAAACTTGTAGGTCAATGAGAGATAAGAGTTAGATAATTTTTCGAGATTTTTCTCTTCAATCCTAATGCATGCTCAACCTTAAAAGCATCTTCTGTATTTATTCTCGTCACGTACTTATTATTAACCGCTAAAAGAGTTCTCGTTTCGAAGCACGAACGTAGGAAAACAAATCGACCACGCTTCTTGAGTCTCAATTTCTAATTATTGTAGATCATAATTAGTAGTGGACATATGCAGTTTATCATAGCCCATCATTCAGCTGCGCAAACCTAATTGCGTCGCTCGGCATGCGAGATTCTCCGAGGCCACGTTGTATACATGGTATATATGGTACATCTCCATTAACCGCAATATAACAACAGGCTTGTCATATCGCATAATTAAACAGATAGAATGAATAATTGAAAGCACTAAAGTAGCACTTTTTCTTCAACGAGCTTTCTCTGTAAGTATTTCCATCATAAGCGATTTTTTTTTGATAAACTAATATAAAACTATTTCTTTCTTTATATTTATTTATTTTAATAAATAAAACATTTTTAGGACATAAAACTAAAAAAATAGGATATTTGATATAAACAGAAAAAAAAGAAAAGAAAATGATTAATATGAACGCAAAGATATATATATATGTATTGAGAAAAATTTCTGGTTGAAAATCTTCTGGATGAACCAGAAGATTCTGATCACATAAATTAAAATTCAGCTTATGTCAACTAAAATTATAATAGATTCAACTGGAAAATTCTAATTAATCTATTTTCAAACAGAATTAATGCAATCAAATTCTTGTGCACAGGTAGATAAAGAAATAGATAAAGAAATAAATCCTATTATTCTTCATCTTAGAATCTCGTTATCACCTCTGCACTATTAGACTATTATTAAACTTTCCTGTTGAAAATTGGGACGAGCCTATACTTAATCGATTTTCCAAATGTCTGACGTCATTTATGACGTCTCTTAAAGAGAGAGGGAGATACTAGAAGTTCGCTCTCGTTCAACCGAAGTGAGGTCAACATTGTGATGTCCTCCGTTATCATCAACTGGAGTAAAATAATAACGAGACACGGTTATTTGCACTGGACACGGGCGTGACATTTTCCACAAATTGGAGCATTAATCGCAAATGTCAAAACGAGTCCCAAGTATGAAAAGCGAAAAGCATGATTGGAAAACATTTGTTTTCAAAATAATGACAGGAGCAGATTAAAAAAACATGCTAAAAGTAATAAACTATTTTCTTCAGTCAAATCGTTCTAAGTTTGTTAGCAAAAACAAAATTAAAATTACGACAAACTGCGACTAAAAATAATCGAAGATTTATAAATCCAAAATTTCTATTAGTCATAGCGACTAAAAAAAAATTCTATAACTGATAATAACTTCAAATTATATTTAATAAATTTTTATGAGATAATCTTATTGTATTATATTTACAATTAATAATATAATTAAAAATGCACAAGATCAGTTTCATTTAACAGAAAGTTTATCTAAATGAAAAGTAAGATAAAAACAATTGAAAATATGATATTATAATATTTGAAGAGCTATCCATAAAACTATATATCTAATAAAACACACCACATAATCATACATAATAAAGATCAAACTAGTAAAAACTTCTTAAAAATAAAATTTGTTAATTATATGTGATATATTGTTAATATATTTTTTCGATAATGATACAAAAATAGTTTTATTTATGTAATGTCTCTAAATTCAAACAAGTAATTTATCAATTTTATGGAGGTAGAATCGTTAAATAAATAATTTTCGGAAAAATCCATAATTTGTTGAAACTGCAACCATAAAACAATCTAGTAGATCTAAAGATCAAAGATTTAACTCAAGGATATGCAAATAAAGGTCAATGGATTTTGAATTCATGAAGTCAAGTGTGTGTAAATCCATGAATATGAACAATTCTGACGATGACTAATCGTCTGAGATGTACGCAGCAGCATCTGTGAAATAAATTATAATTCCTCGACCTGTCCTAAGCAATACTATTATAAATCACATTATGTCATAAATTAATTATATTACAAGCTAAATAATGACGTTCTGTCTCACAAATGCTACGTTTTCTAAGTAAGTACAATCAATTTCACCGAACTTCTATCCTATATGATATAATCAAATAACTTAAATATTAAAGTAATTGAGAGATAAAGGAAACTTTTGAAGTTATTATTACGATTTTCCAAATAGTATTATATAGTAGTAATGTTAGAGTATATAGTAGTAATGTTAGAAATCATAGTTATGATTTCTAACATTACAAAATCTTCCAATTGATGGAACAGATAATTTTATCGGTAAATACAATTTTTTATTTTATCCGATTTTATCTTATTTATCTTTTCGGTTTTCTTTCGATAAATTTAATACTGTGTAGTGTAATAAATTGATTAATAATTAATTACTTTTTTAAATATTAAAAACAATAAATTTTAATACTCAAAAAAAATAATTAATCACTAACTAATTTAATAACTTAGAATATTAAATTTTTCTAAGGATTATCAATAATGTTTATTAATATTTTTAATTAATAAATTGAAAATATATAACAAAGAAAAAAAATATATAACAACTATGGCTAAAACGCTCACGTGGGAAAACATTTCCAAGAAAGAGAAAAAGAGAGAAGAAACAGTCTTTGCATCAAAAATCCTTTCTAAATATTTTTCGCACGTGTCTTCCTTCTTCCTCTTAATATTTTTTTTCTTCATCCCGTTCTTCATTTCCTTCTCTAATTCTTTCGTACGCTACTGTCCATCATCATTGATCACCAAAGTACAGGCTATAAATTAGCTCAATGACTTACCATGACGATTACGCGCGCCGTTTTCGCAATTCGCTGACAATCTTCTGCCGTTCGCCAGACATGCAGTAGATTTGTCGCTCAATTGTACGCACTCAAAACACACCGATCGCCAACTTACCGATTTCCCAATAAGCTTCTCGATCGCCAATCGGTGCTCCAATTGTAGGTGTACTCACACTCGCGGGGATTTATATATGAACGATCACACACGACGATCGTGCCGTCGCAAGGTGTTCCCCGGCATTTTCACGCGACGACTCCTCGAACGCGGCCAAGACGAGACCCTGCATTGGGATGTCATCTCGGTTGATAAGGCAGCTTCTTCGACGCCTGCGCTGTCGTGATTAAAAGAGCAATGCCGTATCTAGTCTTTGAGGAATCGAACGAACAAAAAAATGTATGCTTTTGACATCTTTGTACAATGGCGCTAAAGGCACCTTGGTATGTTCAGATCTTTCAATCTTCTTATATATTTTTAATTTTTCGATCTATAAATCTTCTTTGAGTGTCCTCGAATTTGTTCTCAACTCTATATAAAACTTTCAAGTTCTTCGATTCCATAACATTATATTTTTCTATTCTTTCGGTTTTTATGTTATATATATTCAATAGTAATTACGAATTTTTTGACAAATATATATAAATCTTAATTTAGTAATATTTTTTTAGTTTTCGATCTACGTGAATGTAAGTTTTAAGAAGTTCCATGTTCTTGAATTTAAACGTTTGCACGATTCAACTCTAAAATTTTCAAATTCTTCAATTCCACAATATCATATATATTTTTAATGTGTATATTCAATTTTATATGCTTTTTGTTAATTATAAGTTTCTTAAAACATTTAGTATATACATTGACTAACTGTGACATTTTTTTGTTTATTGATATTTAAATGTTTGCTTCAGCCCTCTTCTGTCCTTTTTATCAAATCAATCAACTTTAAAATTGTTGAATTCTTCAATTCTTCAAAATCACATTTTGCTATTTAACTTTATATATTATACATTCGATAATAATTATTAAATTTCTTTAATTTGATCTATAAACCACCATATTTAATTTCTTAATTTTTGAATCTTGCGACTTTAATTATGCGTCTTTGAATTCAAACATTTACATCATTCAATTCTAAAATTCTTTCAAAATATATAATGCCTAAATTTATAAAAAATAAATCGAACATTCTTTTTCGCTTTTTTTTACAATATTTATTTATCTTCGAAATCAATAATTATTGAACGAAAGTCGTGCAACAATATTAGATAATACGCATTAAGTGATATTGATGATACAACACCACATTTCCATAACTGATATGGACAATTTCGATGATCGTATAGGAAGTAGGAACAACCAATGATTGTTCGCTGCGTACGCAGATTGCGCCGGCGTGTCAGCTGTTTCATTCAAACCCACCATGACGACTACGTTCAATTCACAAACAAAAGAGTGGACAAAACGAAATATACAAGATGTTTTGAGATATAAAAGTAAATATATCAAAAATTATATCAAAATTACATATAAATCCAATTAATGTTACATCCTAATTACAAGATCATAAATGATTCCGTACATCAAATTTTTTTTCCCTAAATATCTTCGAACGAGTTTTCATCATTTTTACACCTACGATTCAATTGTTATAGATAGGAACAATAATGACGTGAAATATTCTAATAACTATAACATTATCTTAAAATTTCTATAAAAAAAGAAAATGTTACTCTTTAGGATACGAAACTATTTTAGTTAGTGTCTTAGACGTTATCAAAGCTTTGTGAAAAAAATGGCTTGAAATTAATTAAAAGAGACTTGAAACATATCTATGATATTGATTTGCGAGAATTTTAATTATATTTCCAACAACACAACCTTACATTGTAGATACATATGTATCTTTTGTGTGTAGATGAGACAAAGATTTAAGATAAGGGTGAAAGGAGAAGGGTGCACTCGAATGGACGCCCCTGCGCTCTAGTTACGTCACTGGTCATCTAGTCGTCAGGCACGCGTCGTCATAGTGAAAATCCGCCAGTTACAACGGGGTTGCAGGGAAGCGCACGTCACGTTCTCGGTGTCGCCGGTACGAGCGGCTTTTCCCCAGAAGCAGCGGTGTTCAACAGAGAAAAAAAAAGAATAGGTGTCTTGAGAAAACATCCCGTTAATAATTGACCGTTTATCCGGTGAGAAAACCGATATACGGAGCGGAGCTGAGCTGAGCGCGGCGCAGCGCGTGGAGGCGGAGCGGAGTACGCTCCTCATCGATCTTCTCAACGACGCAGGTAAATCCCGGGTGTGCCCTTATTCTCACGATGGGGCGAGCCGTGACGCGTCAAAACCGCGAAAAACCGGCAAGGTTCGAAAAAGAAAAGAAAAGTACGTAAAGCCGAAAATGAGATCGGATACGAGAAACGTGAATTTCGGGAGGATCCTTAACTTAATTTCTGCGAATATTAAACAGGAGTCTGCGAATTCTATCACGTTCTTATTTGCGATAAAATATTTACAATTTTTTTTTCGATATATTCCGGGGATAAATATGGGAGAACCGATGAAGATCAGCAAGATATGAAATAGGATTTGAAATGCAGGAATGAGGGAGGAATTGCAGGAGTGGAATATAGAAAACTCGAAAGACACTTCAATTTACTGTTAAGGAAATGAGAAAAAATAATGAATAAGTTTCTTCGTTGCAAAAAAAAACAATTTTTTTATCCAGCGATTTCGGTATTCGTGACCCCGTAGATAAAGTCTGACATTTACGTATAAATGACCTCCACACCTTCGATATACCACCGTTAAAAAATCGATAATGCCGATGAGGATAAGAGAAATCTATAGCAAGAGAATTCTACGTCGGTGTGAAATATCACCACTATATATTGGTAGGAGGAAATTGCAATAGCTTTGTAGAACTAATAGTTGAATTCCCACAACTTATATGAAGAGCTTTCCTTGTACACAAATCATTCCTGCACGAGGATGAATCGTGACAATAAAAGATTATAAATTCAAATAATTTTCTCTAATTTATAAATTGCTCTGACTCATAAACTGTATTCCGATATTTTTACATGTCACAGAATATTCGTTGTGCAATTCATCTTTATCATCGATTGCGAATACACCTACGTAGTACACGAAACTTCAATTATTGTTTACTAAAATCTTGTAAAAAAATTCTCTAATAATTCTCGAATTTTTTTCGAGGTATTTTTGTTCAAAATTCCAGATCAGATTAGAGAATTTTTTAGAGCATCGCAAATAAAGTATATATTGAAAATTAGAAGATAGGAATTTCATAATAGATACAGTTTTGAATATATTTACACATTGAGAGTAAAATGTTCTAAATTTTAATAAATATTTGATTAAATAGTGCTAGTTAAATACTTACTAAATGTAAACGTGTATTTATTTGGTACAAAAACTATTAGTTTAATTTTTAATTTATTTAGCAAATATTTCTTTTCCATAAATAAATATTAGTACTAATCAAATAATTATTTATTAAAATTTAGTACATTTTCTCATAGTATTATTTCTACAATTTGAGCCGCAAAAGCTATAGAATAATGTAGAGAAGGCTCATTAAAATGTAATCAGTGAACTACTCTATTCTGCTCAGAGTCTTCCACTCCGTTACCTTAATTTTTTATAAAACTCGCGAAATACACGAAAATACGTGAATATACGCGAATGTATGTCATATTTATCAACATTTTGTATTGATTATCAAGTAAAAAAAATCAAAGAAGCAATGCTTTCAGAAAAAGAAAGAATTTAAATTTAATTTAAAAGTAAAATTTACCCGAGTCCCGATAAAACAGCATGAGAATCCCTGATTTTCAAAGATAGAAAAAAAATATCTGATAATTTCAAATTTTTCAAGTTTTTCCAGATAATAAACACTCTGTATTAGAATATAGCACAAATAATCTTTACAAAAACCCGTTTTAATACTGAAAATTGCTTATTTTGAATATTAATCACTAGCTTCCAGCAGGATGATACAAAGAGGAGTACTGAAAGTGCTTCGCACCAGAAACCCAGTGCTAAGGAATTCCAGAAGAAATCAGCAAGAAAAGAAAAATTATTATTTTATATAATAAAAAATAATCTGGAAGAAATATTCCTAAATATAGTTATAGCTTTACGAATATATTTCACTCCAAATTCTATAAATGTTAAGTTAAAAGAAGTTTCAGAGAGTAAATTAAAATTTACAAAATCAATTTACGTTCTATAATGAGGTAAGAAAATCTAAATGCTTGTATAATGTTTTCTATTGAAAATGAAATTAAAGATAATTAAAGACTGTAATTTTGATTCCTTAATCAATAGAAAAAGTTTTTGATTTATGAAAATTTTAATTATACTGTAAAATTTATAAAAAATTTCATTATACTCTTTTGTTATTTTCTAAACTCTTTAAAGTTTTTTTAATACGAAATTTATGGACAAATAGGATCCCCCCATCTTTACCTTTACACTAAAATCCCAAAAATTCTTTGCACATTCTTTTTTTCTACCTTCCAGTATTAAATTTCTGTAAAAAGCGCGCACTATTAAATTCATAATGTCAATTATAATTTGAAGAATTTTTAATCATTTCTGTAGGTCTGTTCCTATCCGCAATATATCGTTAATTTGACTGAAATAGTAGAAATAAACAATTTAACTCAAGAAAATGTAAAATTTAATTTAATTTGACTCAAATTTAGTTTATTATTTACAAAATACATACGTTAATATGACAATATTTACTTTGAAACTAACCACAGAAATGGATTGATTTACATTCTGACATACAAAGTTAAAAATAACAAAACATTATTTAACTCAGGGATTAAGTTATCATTGCTCCTTTGATATCTATAATAGTACATAATGAGGAATAATTTACTTTTATCCTCTAAAAAATCTACGAGAACGGGGGGGCGGTGTTGCTCAATGATCTGGTGAGCCGTCTACTTTCACGCGAAGAATATCTAATATCTGTACATTGCTCAAGAAACGAAACTATAACCAAGTCCCCAAGTTGTACTACTCAGCGAGATAAGTGTAACGCGCAATAAGTTACACTTATCGCCACTTCTGAGACCAGGGGAGAGTAAGAGAAACATCAATCAGTAAATTACCCTTGCTACTATTTGTCAAAGTGTTTACAATTGGATAATAATTAAGGATATAATCAACGTGATGCTACAAATGCTTTGAGGCACTTTTTGATTGATCAAT